CTCGATGTAATTGACTCTGTGTACTATGCACTTGACTCGATGCACTTCACTCGATGTTCTTCACTCTGATGTACATCACTCTGTGTATGATGCACTTGACTCGATGCACTTCACTCGATGTACTTCACTCTGATGTACTTCACTCTGTGTACTATGCACTTGACTCGATGCACTTCACTCGATGTACTTCACTCTGATGTACTTCACTCTGTGCACTATACTCTGTGTACTATGCTCTGTACACTTGACTCTGCCTGCGTAGTACTCCGTGTACTTGATCCTATGTACTTCTCTAGAGGGCTTCGCACGGAAGAACCCTTCGCGATGCTTTCGGGAAAAACATGATGGTCACAAAGAAAAAGGAACAGAGGAACCAAAAATAACTTTATTGGCTCTACAAGTCGGAAGACGTGATATTGGCACACCAAATGCGGCATGGCAAGGGGAGAGATTCCCTCCCAAGCACTCAAAGCACCTACGTGCCATCCAAAATGGTAGTGTTCGTGGCCGAAAAGCGCAGCCCAAGCGAATGAAAAACAACATTTCTTGCGGAAGCTCTGCGAATGTGCTAGCACCTACGAAAGCGTAGCCGCCTGCACATGCCTAAGCCTGCAAGCGCCTGAAGCGCCAAAACGTGCCCAAGCGTCCAACAATCGCCAGACGGTAGGACCTTAAGAGTTCTAGGTGGAGGCTTACACTCCTAGGGGCGTAGGTGTGTTTGGAGGCTTAAAGCAACAATGGTTAAGTTCGAGACATTAGCAGCGGAAATTAATAATACAGCTTATAGAAAATAGCTTCCAAGGACACCGAAGCGCCTAGGCTCCCACAAGTGCACAAATGCGCCGAAACATGTCAGAGTGGTTTCTAAGCCTAAATCTATCAAAGCGCAATGAAGCGTTCTACACGTGTGTGTGTGTGTGCTTGGAGACTGAGAAGGGAAGAAATTCGGATCCGACACCCTTCACTACGAAGGCTCAAAGCAGGCTTACTCATTTTGGCTGGAAGCGTTCAAGCGCGCATGCTTCCGGGAGTCTGCCGGCTGGAGGTTTAGAGGCTTCGAAGCATTAGTGACACCACGTACTAACATTGAAAAGCTTTGCCGAAAGCAGACCGCGCGGGACTGTGTCGGGTACGATTTTGAGAGCAAAGTACGCAGGACTTCAGCAGGGGCGCGATGCTTTACGGTGGAACAGGCGTCCCCAAAACATGAAGATAAGTGTGGCAGGAGCACGATTTCGGGTGGAGGACACAGACGGGACTGTTGCGGGAAGACGATGCTCTCTACAAGCAACGCTTGTGGCGGAACAAACTTCGGGACATTCAAAAGTCCCTTTGGAAAGGCGGGATTTCCCGGCAACAACAAATAGTCCCAAGGGAGGCGAATAGTCTGGTCCTGCTACGGAGTTTAAAGCATCGAACGAGTTGAACGCAGAGATGAGCACGGAATTCTGGCGGGAGCACAACCCAAAACATGCACGACACTGTGGCGGGAATGCGACGCATGAAGTTGGCGAGCACCAACGTTTTCAAATTTACGATGGGTTGGGTGTCTCCAAAGGCTGCGGCCGCCAGAGAAGGAACGTAAACCAACAGAAGCATGGAGGTTGTCGTCGGCTCTGGTGCCGATTTTTCTTGGTACCCGGTTGGCTGAATAAGTAAGGGACGAAGAAACACAAACGACAAAGTGAAGTCTAGTGACCTGCAGTGAAGTCTAGTTAGTAACCTGTAGTGACCTTCAGTTCATGGACTGACATGTTACTTTCGACGCTTGCCACTGCTTGTGTCCCTTGCCTACCTACCTTCGCGTGGGAACGCTAAGGGTCCAATTCTAAATATGACTAGTCCTGGATCCTTGTGTGGACGTGCCTGGCCAGTCGAGATCATCAATACAATCTTCAATGCATAGTGATGACTCACGTCATGGTTCCGCTCGTGGTGAAGAAATCATTCGTTATCACGACGTGCAAAGTGAAGTTTCTATCCTCGTGGTGTTCCAAGATGCCCAGAGGAACCAAGTAATTCGATGGCACAAGAGTCGGTTATGGGGACCATGAAAAGGGAGGACCAAGGAGCTCGTTGACAACAACATTCCCCGTTAAGGACAAGATGTTGATCAGCTACATATTCCGATAGAAAGGAAAATGGTGGTGACAAACGAATTTCAGGTTGAAACAATGAAAGTAGAGGCTTTAGCTGCAGACCTCTGATCAGTTGTGGCATGCGGGGACAGACTTGATGGATGTCACTCCGTGGCTCAAGCACTGCGAGCAAGAAACGCGCACTCATGCTTTGCACAAGCATCAGCCCGCCCTTTAATTTCAGAAAACGCCGACTCCCGGCCCGTCAACGAAGCAGAGGCTCATGCCTACAACTCCACGAGGAGAAGAAGTACAGGAAGGGGAGGACGAGGCAAGGAAACTCGACGATGAAGCAGCAGAGCATGCAGATGCAGGTAGAGAGACATTTTTTCAATCACACCGTACAGTGTTCCCTTCTAACAGGATAGACAAGGATGAAGAAAACGACAGACCCATAATTGTAATTGCCAAGCACGTTTGTTTCACAGCCAGCTGCTTGTCAAGAGAGCCGCCATCAAGTTCTCGAGCTGCTAGTGACAGCTGGTCAAGGACAGTGGCAGGCAGCTATCCCAACATGCCAAGAACAAGGTCACGGACTACGTGTAGAAGTGGTCAAAGTGTTGGCAGCACAGTTACGGCAGCATCAACAGGCACAGAATGTTGCTGCAGAGCAAGAAAGAGCAGCTCTTAGACAGAAACACTTCCAACAGAAACACAAGAACAGGAGTGGGAAAATGAGACCAACAACGAAGGAAAGACCGAACACAAAGGAGGATGGGCGATGCCTCCCAAGATCAACGACAGGATTTAAAGATCCCAGCAATGTCTTAGCGATTTGGTAAAGTTAATGACGAAGTTGGGCAAGCCTGAGGAAAAGGCACAGAAGGCGGAAAGGAAAGTAGGTCAGGCTTGACAACAGAATGGAAACAAACCAATCGAAAAATAAGAAGCAGACGCAGAAGCAGAAGGAGTTTCAACAACAAAGGAATAACCAGAAGCGAGGCACGCCAAGGAACCAACCGTCGAGGAATAGATGCCTCAGAGCATGAAGAGAAGAGGACGGAGGAACGGGAGGCATATGATATGTGAAGAAATGATCACGAAAAAGCTGATGCAAGACCATCGTGATACAGAAGACCGTCCACATGCAAGCAAAGGGCGCAGACATGGCAGAAATAAGAAGACGATAGTCGTGGATGCTGCACGAGGCGCCCAGGCCAACCAGTCCGACCGAGTGGAAGATGAAGGTGCGGTCAGTCGGTCAGTTTTTTCCAGAAGTGCCCCGAAAGCGCACAGGGGGCTGTTACCAGAGCAGCACAGCGGCGTGAAAGACTTGGACGGGTGTGGACTAAAAGTAGACGGGCCGCAAAAGCTAAGAGCGAGAGCAGCAGGAGCAAGGGGGCCATGGAGAAGGCGGAGCACAGAAATTCCAGCATGAAAGGCATCACCGGCACCAAAGCAGGACGACAACCAAACAGCAAGCAGCAAGTGCAACAGACCCATCAGGAAGCGCAGCGAGTAAAGGAAACATGCGAGAATCAGAGATTGGTCGTGCTTTGGGCAACTCGGAATGTGGGTTCCCAACGTTTACTCTGCACTTTCCAAGACCTATTACCTTTACATTCGTGGCCTGCGCAAAAGGTGGTACCATGAATAGAAGCGATTCAGCGCGCTCCATTTGCTTGCAACAAGCAGCTCGTTCAACATGTCAAGTGACGTGACGCCATGATCGAGACATGTCGAGACGTCGCAGTCCAAGGCGTACAGTCGCAATTTTAGCAACCACGAATGGTCCATGTCAGATGCCCAGCCCTCAGATGCCACGTAGCGTCCGACAGGTGTTGTGCAGGGCCTGATTCGTAAAAGGAGTATCACCTCCGTCCTGTTCACAAAATTCTTGCCCGAGCTGGGCTGCCCGTTGAAGAGTTTGCGTCCGCTCCTCATTATTTCTTGGCAAAGCTGGTTGCTGCCTCATTTCAGTACTACTAGTACCTGTTGGAGGCATGCGGCCGAGCTGTATGGTCGGAGTGATGCTATGCCTGGATCCCCGTTCCTCATTGATCTGACAGGTACAATCTGGGATCTTGCTAGATGCCAGGATGATTTCTTGCTTCAGTCGAAGCACTGTAGCCATTGCAGCACGGATTCAGCCTCGATGTCATGTCTTTCGGCGCCCTGAGAGGGTCGTACGCTTGACCCGAGAACCCGACGTTGGGGCATTGCAAGTATCAATTGGCCATCTCAGGCGAGCGTGCGGTTCGTGCCTGCTGACAGACCCTTCGGCGGTGTCTCAAGCCATTGCGCTACCGCATGCGCAGCAGGTCCAGAGAGTTGCGTTTGCGTGCTGGTGTGAACGGTGCGGTGTTTGCAGAGGTTGTTGTCTTGCGGCTTGAACGTCGCACAGCTGCAAGACAGTCCTGCCATGTGCAATCTATCCTTTGTGCAACAAGCTCTAAGGCCTTACTTCGGATTTGGCTCTTGCAGGAAGCCAAACGGACCAACTTGCGAAAGCACTGTCTTTGAACAGTGGTTCTGTGTGCCGTCACAAGGTCCAGCGCCTTCTGTGCGGCAGGCTCGTTCCGTCCTTGCCTTGGTAGCTGCCTCAAAGCACTGGGCGGAGGTGGCTTTGGTGCCGAGTCCTTCAAGACATCCCACGAACTCATACCTCGAAGGTGGCTAGAGCAGCTAGGGTTTCTGCAAGCACTGTGCTGGAAGTCGCGATGTTTTCACTGGTGCAGCTATCGGCTTGGAGGGCGGTCATGGGCTCGATGCAAGATGGGCCATCGCAAGGGAATCCATGAAGGCAAGTCGGAGTTCTTCATGCAGCAGCTCTAACTACGCTGAGTTTCCAAACATGGAGCGGTTTTTACGCGTTTCAAATGTCGGAGTCGGACGTTGCCGGTGGAGCTCGCAGCAACCACAATGACTGACGCAGAGCAGCTGTTGGAGAGGTGCTTTGGCACGTCCCTTCCTTCGTTTGTTCTTAGGAATCCTGGCCTGGCCGAGGCTGAGTGCCTTGGCTCCTGGAGGTTCAAGCTTGGAACCGGTTCTGAGAGAATTTCACCACGGGGAGTTTCAGCTCGTGGTGCAACAGTGTCTTGGCTACAGTGGCAGACTCTTCAGCGTTCAGGGAGCAATCCAACCCATTTCCTGTTCGAGGTTCGTTGCTGACAGGGCTCCCTTTTTCACAGTGACCTGTCAAGATGGCTCACATCCACTGGTATGGACGCAGTATCACCAGGAGTACAAGGAATTGTTCGAAGCGCATTTGCATAATGTCCTTCATTCCATGGAAATCGATGCCGCCGAATTCGCATCCTTCTGTGATTGGCTTCGTGTCAATGCCGAGATCTTCGAGGAGCCGACCGGGTCAAAGTGCCATCGTTCATTTTATAGAGTCAAGAGGCGACAATATGACCGGCGCTAGGGTTGACAAACCTTCGTGCATGAGGCTCTTCGTGCATGAGGGCAGTGTAAGAAATTTGAAGGCTGAATTGTAGCAGAAGTCAAACACAGGGGATGGAGCGAGTAAGAGCCTTCGGGTACGTCAATGCGGCTCAAAATCTGTTGAATCGCCGCGGAGTCTATGCTTAAGCTAAAGCCTAAGCTGACGAGGATGACACGGAAGGCTTGTACCCGTTCCTGGCAGCCATCACAGCCTCGCTGGCAGCTTGTCCAATCATGTCTAGTCGTCTAGTCTGCTCTCTCCGTTTTTCGCAACAAGGCATGTACATGCGCATCCGAAACTTTCCCCACGGTTCTGCTGCAAACATAAGGACTACGGCGCTTTCCTCCAGACTTGCTTTGCCGAAGTTCGTCGACAGAACTGCTCAGAGACAGAAACATCGTCGCAGGATTTGGACATACAGATACCGGAAGGCATGACTCCTGGTCAGTCTCTCGTGGTCGAGTACCTTGGTGCACGATACGAAGTTGCTATACCCGAAGGGTACGAGCCCGGAATGGTATTTCGGACTTGTGTTGCTCCTTCGTAACTTCAGGGACTTCCAGAAGTTCTCGCCGAGAAGGTGCTCGAATCGGCAACTCGAGGCCCGACTGATCCTTGGGTTCTGTGCGGAGGATCATAACCCAAAAGCTTGCAAAGCTTGTCTGAAACTGATCCAAGAAGCGTGGCTGCACCAGCCTGCATGTACAGGATGGTTGTTCGAGCGTTTCTTTTCAGCACACTGTCCGCCTTGGGTGATCGTTTTGGAAACAATCGATTACTCAGCCGAGTCTAGTCACAAGTTGACGAGCAGGAGTATACAATCCAAAAGCCGGCGCATTAGCTTGGCCGTCTGCAGAATGGATGCATTTCGTGGGGCCAAGGCTTTCACCGAGGGATTTCTTCGACGTAGATGCAAGACGTTGCTGATATATTCGTTCACACAGGAGAGGTCTTGGTATCTTCTGAATATGTACCAAGAGCATGTTCAACAGAAAAGACCCTGAAGGGTGGAAGGTTGGGTTTGCAATCCCTTCCTGCCCTGCTGTGGTGAAGAAGAGTCCCCGTGTTTGCCTCTTTGTCTTCCGAGACATTGGCCGGAACAAGAGTCAATATCACTCCTGGCTGGCTAAAGCATGCCATACACGAACGGGTCACAGAACGACTATCGTGCCCCCCAGAAGGAAAGAAGCGCGGCCACTGCCTTTGCTTGTCTTATACCATGCCGCCCATGCTGGAAGTCAATCTTCGTGCCTCGTCTGGGACATGTAAGCTTGAGCTTGAGCCTTCATCGATTCCTTGCTTCGCAGGGAGCGCGCAAGATCGAAGAGTTGGCATGGTCTGCACAAAGCATTCGATGGGTCACGGAGGTGTATGCCAAGGATGGATGGCATGGTCCAGTTGATTCGGTGATTCGCAACAGGGTAACTTGCCAGTTGGCTCCCAGGATCTCTGGCTGGGCAGATATGCAAGAGTGCCAGTTGCAGACAAACCACAGGACGCCGTCAATTGCGTCTCAAGCCTGCGTGAGTTTGCTTCTTCGCGGGCTTTCCTAGTGGCCGGGCCTCGTACTGTGCAGGCCAAGGAGCACACTCAATTTTGTGTGTCACTTTGCTGAAGCCAGCCATTGTGCGCCAGTTTGTGCCTAAGAGGCCGAGAATGCAGCAGGCACAAGGCATGCGAAACCCCAACACTCGTGGCATGACAGCGTTCCTTGCAGACCGGTGCCATCCCAACATGCAACACAACCACAAACCCCAAGTAGGAGAATTGCCGGGCGGGAAGCCGAAACCTGAGAGGAAAACGGAAGCCGCATCTGGAAGTGATGGGTGTGGGAAGCCCAAAGACCTGACAGTTAACGATGGGTGGAAGCTCAAAGCCTTCAAGAAGTGCAGGTGGGACGCCTGCGAAACCCGGTTGCAAACAGGAGACAATGAAGACACAATCAAAAGTTTTCAGAGCTGTGTTGGAAGCACCGACGTTTGTGATTGCGGCATTCCAGCATGTGCTGGCAGCAGCCCTTACTGAACATGCTGTGTTCGTGGCTTCCAGACGGCGGTGCCGAACAACGAAAGTGTGTTTGGACATGCCCGGTAGCAAAGATGTTTGTGGCCTTATAGCAGGTGTGGTGGCAGCAAGAAAGCTTTGTGCAGGAGATGCCGCGAGTCCTGCAGACGATGCGCGGGACGAGATTGTAAAACAAGTCCAGTGCTCTGTCAGCTTGTCCTCAGTTCCATGTGTCGTTTCAACGCGACAACGTTCGAAGTTGAAGCTCCTGCAGAGCTTGCCACCAAAGCTTCGAAGACGACATGCTCAGTGTTTCCTGTGTTGATGCCACAGCACGACTAGAGTTGCAGCTAACGATACATTCGATTAAAAGAGTGACATGAAGCGGCACAATGGAATCTGGGCAGGCGACTTGTTCACGCGCTGGCTCATCCTTTTTAGCGCGGGTGGTGCAATCCGGCAGGTGCATGATGAGCGTCTGGCCTCATTACAAGATCGAGTTCAGCAGCTCGAGGCTGCAGTCGCGGATTGAGCGTCGACCTGCTTGACATCACCTAGCTTGAGGAGGGTCTTCAACGAACGCATGACGAAGTTGAGGCTTGAGCTTAATCATGGATGTTGTTAGTAGTTGGATCGCCTAGATCCCAGGCTTGCTCTGTACTTGTGCTGTCCTTTGACCGCTGTGTTCGTGGCTGAGTCATGTGCGTAGACCAGCTTGCAGTTTGTGCAACGGCGTCACCAAGGGAGTCTCCACTCAGAGAGGCTGGAACAGGGTCATGGGTCCATGGGGCCACGGGTCCACGGGTCGTACTTGAATTTCCTGCAGGTCGAAGCGACGGCCCACCTTGTGAGGAGACGGGTCGTCTCAAGGCCAGGGTCCAGAGGGCAGCGCGGCCTCGATAGGGTCAGGTCTGGATTTTTCCTCCTGGCTTTGAATAGTCCTGGTCCTCCTGGCTTTGGATCGGCCTGGGCCGGTTGGCTTGTCCACGCACTCGGGGCTAGAATAATCCTCCTGGCTTTGGGCCGGTTGGCTTGACCGCGGACTCGCGGCTGGAATAGTCAGTCCTCCTTGGCTTTGGATAGACCTGGGTTGGTTGGCTTGTGCTGGATCGGCCTGAGCTTTTTGGATAGGCCTGTGCCGGTTGGCTTGTCCGCGGCCGGGTGCTGCTTCTGGCTTTGGAAAGGCCTCTGCCGGTTGGCTTGTGCGTGGCCTTTTGGGGTGGGGTGGTGGGGTGGCGTGGTGGGGCGGGGTGGTGGGGTGGGGTGGAGGTGGGTGGTGGGGTGTGGGTGGGTGGGTGGGGGGGTGG